CTCCTGGAAATCTGTTTGCATCTGTTTTATGGATTCCATTTGTTTCCTGTGTTGGGATTCCATCATGTTCCTCAGATCCTCTATTTTTTTATGTATGCCCTCTCTAGATTTATGAATCATGTCTTGCACTGTGGGCACAATCTCTGCTGTTATCTGAGAAATTATTCCTGATTTCTTTTTTTCCAGATCTTCTTTTGTGGCCAGTTCAGGGAGTTCAGGTGGCTGAGTATCAGATTGTTCCAACTCATTTCCCTTTGGGGTTGCTTTAGGTGATCTGGAAGTCTGGTTTTGAGACTTGTTTATGTGTCTTCTCATTTCAAAAGGAGTGGGTGCTGCTGGAGCCCACATGGCTTACCTCCTCAGTGCTGGGGGCAGTGGTATGGCAGCTTGGAATCTTCCTCTTTATTTTTGAAACCTGCCTTAGGCCAAGCAGAGTAATTCTAGTAGAGGGTACAGAGTGGGAAAAGCCAAGCTGCAGATATTGGTGGTAGATGGAGTTCTCTATGACCTTCATTTCTTCTCACTCCCAAAGTAGAGCTCCCACTAAGAAAGAATACTGGGCTATAAGATATAAAGACCACCCCATTTGAGGGGTCCGTTTTGTCACCTTTAAAGTCTGACAGCCCCCCTTTGATATGCGGTATGTATTATTTATGCTTAAAGAGGATCCAAGTTACCATCTAGGCAAGACTATAAAGTTTAATACAGTATAAGGGAAAACTATATTTGACACTTATGGTAATCTCAACTCAATTCACAATCATCCAAGTATTTTTGTATAGCTATATACATGAAATTGACTTTCATTTATGGAACATTCATAGAATAAGAGGATTCCTATATACCATTGTGAGCTAACAATAATCAATGTCTAGGCATCTGTTACATTTCAAATATACACAAGTGCTAGGTAGTTTTACATGTTTGATTCTTACAGAATGCTCTGAGGGTTTTTGTTTTGATAGATGAGGAAACATGTTCAAAAAAATACAACTAACAAATAATACATTGGTACTAAAATTTAAATTTTCTGAATCTAAACATAGTATTTCTACTGGAAGTTTGTTTCTAACATTAATGAATACCCTCTCTAGTTTAAGAACTAGACTAGCACATAAACCATAACATCAGGTACAATGAAACAAATAATCACAAGAAAAGTATGAACAAAATCTACATATCAGCTATACCAACTACATCCATATTCATATTCTAACATTGTGTTAAAAGCTGTCTAAATAAGTAAAATCCGTGGTGGGAAGTCAGTTTTTTCCCCCTCAGAAAACAAAGGATTCAAAAATCAAGGATTCTTTGAACATCCTTTCAGCCTCTTTCTTTCTTTTTTTTTTTTGGTACCAGGGATCGAACTTGGGACCTCACGCTTGCGAGGCAGGTGCTGGAACCACTGAGCTAAATCCCTGGCCCTGAACTTCTTATTTTAATCTTGGGTTTTAAAGGACTTTGAGAGCTAGGATGAATTACCCTATATGTATATTTATTGTTTTGTGATTTTTAAAATTTCTGATAGCACCTATTAACAATATTATCTATTATAACACTTTATTTCTATAGTAAAATCACATTTCTTGGAGGAAAGGGTATTCACTAAAGTACATTGGCCTTTCCTTTTTTTTTTCTGGGAGATTTTATTCAATATATAAAGGTCAGACAGTAGAGATGGGGACAAATGACTTCAATGTTTATTAGTAGATCAGGAAAGCATCAAAAAGCAAGGGTCTATCAATGAGACTGACTCATATGTGTAAAAATGGCTCCTTCTACAACTTTTCAGTGATAAATTCTTGGCCACATACTGAACTTGTGATGTTTTAGTGCACAACAACTTTGTTCCACACAAACATGTGAACCTCAACCTAAACTGCCTTTTAGGCCAGTGGTTAAAGAGTAACTTGACAAATGACATTAACAGCTGTTACTTGCCCTATAATTGAGTATATTACTATGGAATGTCTCGCATTAGGAATTTAGGCAATTATATTATATGACAGACAGACACTATAAAAATGTAATTGCTGGCCGGGATTTTATCTCAGTGGTACTGCATGTGCCTCACAAGCACAAGATGCAGAGTTTGATCCTGGTATCCCCCCCCCCAAAAAGCAATTGCCCCATATATGATTAAGATACTATTACTCCTCATGCCATAACAAGTTACACTAAGTCCATATAATCCAGTTATACAACACTAGAGCAGGGGGCTCTCATAAGCCTAAAATGATACAAGTTTACTTCCAGGAGCTTGTGCAGGCTAAAGTCTTCATGCAATAGACAAGTTGATTTTTAGTTGTAGAAGCACAATACCTTAGTGGATTGTGATCAGTCAAGTACATTGCAGGTAATTTGTTTCTAAATCAGTTAATTAAATTTTTTAAATAATGCCCTTTAAGAAATAATAAAGTAGAGGATATTCATGCCTTCCTGTTCCCACAGAATAGAAAATCAAGAGGACAGTCAACCAATGACCAACATATCCTTAACCAAGGATATTTCTGTCACAATGTGTTCTACACATGAACTTTGTGGTATAAGGTCACAGAAAAAAAAAAAGATAAGTTAAACTGCCTCAGTAGAACATTGTAGACAATGCTATGTATTTATATAGGCAACACAGAAAAAGTGATAAAAGCTTCCAAAGAATGATGAAGAAAGATGACCCTGAAATTAAGTAAAGGAATTGGGAATATGATCTCTCTTCCAGTAATTCAGTTCATTCCCCAAAATTGTGTGGTTTCCTAAGTGAAAGGTCTGTTCTCTCCTTCCTTTCAACTGTGTGGGCTGGGAAATTTCAGCTGGACCATCAGCATGTACTACGCTGCTATGGTTTTGGTGAAAGGTTCCATGCAGTTGAGTCACGAGTTAGTAAGCTGGGAGCACAGTGTAAGGGTGCTACAAATCAGGGTTTGGCAATCCAGCGTGTCAGCCAGATCTCACCTGCTGCTTCCTTTGTGCAACCTTACACGCTGAGGCTGTTTTCCACTTTTTTAGACAATTGAAAAGAAACTCAAAGGGAAAGTAACATTTCATGACACATCAAAATGATATTGAAATGTCATTAACCATAAACAGAGTTCTGTTGGAACAGTCAGTGTCATTCTCATTCAGAGCTGTCTAAGCTGTTTTTGTGTGATAATGGCAGAATGAGTTAATTGTAACAGCAACTATGTAACTTGGAAAGTCTAACATGTTTACACTGGCTCTTTATATTTAATACACACTGATTCTGCTATAAATATTGAACTGAAAAATAAAAGGTCAACTCTGATGACTCTTCTGCCTAGACTTGTACCAAATGACTAAGATTAGGAAGTGAGAGGGTTATTAACTCCAACTTCTTTCCCACAAGAGCTCCTGCCTCATTTCCAATGTTATTTCAGTTTGCAAATTTATTAATCCTCTTTCCATCACTCTAAATGAATGTAGTTCAAAGTAAGTGGTGCTTGCAGAAGAATTTAACAACACTTTTGTGCAGCATCATCTTACAAGTTGGGGATCAGGGCTCATTACCTTAGGTGGTCCGAATGCATGTGGCTAATGTAAATTAGGTCTGCTTTGCACAGCCTCTCTAGCCAGTCAGATGGAGGCTCATGGAGTAACCACCATCCTCTGGCAAACGCAGGACCAATTAACCAAGGATCAAACACCATTCTCTTGTCTCCCAATTTGAGGTCCATGCAGGCATGAGTGAGATATGTTACCTGTTAGAAGAGAGTGAGCGTTCTATTACTCAGTCATTGCTGGTCAGCTACAGTGAACTGAAAGGTTTGGCCTGTTTCACTGACCAGTCAGGTTGGAGAACTTTGTTGCTAAGCGACAGCAGCAGAATCGTAGGCTCAATTATACCACAATAGGAGCTTTGAATAGGACACAATTCCCAGCAGCGATTATGACTTTGCCAGAACAGAAATTCTCACGATGGATTTAGGTATCAAACCAATTGATTTATCTAGTTTAAATTATCTATTTATCTATTTATTTGATTATCTATTTAAACTTATTCCTAAGTACTTATTTATGGTCTGTACTGCAGAGTATCTTTTGGAACCAGTCCTTCAAAACACAATGAGATATTATGATAAGTACTTGGTGATTTAGATGCCAGAGAGGCTGTGAATGGGAATGGGAATGAGTGATTTGAAATGAGCTGGGTGGGTGGGACAGCCATGCAGAGGAGACTGACAACCAGCTAACAGGCATGCATGGCTTGCTCCTCTAATTGCTCCTCTAATTCATCTGCTAACTTACCCCTTCACCTTCGCCAGGGTCACCTGAGACAGGCTACAAAGATTTACAGATACATGCAGACAGAGAATTCCAAACCCCTTCCTGTGCCCTGCCCTCCCTCGCTGTGGTGTCCATAGAGAAGGAACGTGGCCGTGGCCGGCAGCAGAGACACCTAACAATACCTCCAATGTGAAAAGCCAACAGAGCAGGAGAGGAGAGGTCAAAGGATCCAAGAATTGTATATTATGCCTGTTTGGAGTAGGTTCCCATTTGTTTCCTCAAAACACAATTGCCCCAAGAGACACAAGATTCCCATTACACAGAAAAACTACATTTTTCATCACCTCTCCCAAACTACTGAAGAATACGGTCTGAAAGAAACTGTCTTCTAAAGCTGGAAAAATGCATAAGAAGGCTCACAAAAGATCTCAGGACATGGTGTAGGAATAGATAACTACTCATCTGCTGTGGTTTGTCCCCCAAAGGTTTGTGTGTTGGGGGAAGCTTGGTGCTCAGGGTGGTGGCAGTGAGGTGATGGTGAGGTAGGATGAGAAATAAAACTAGGTTGAAAGGAGACCGGTAAATCAAGAATTTAAAATCATACTTTTAAGAAAAACTACAGCTTCAAGACAACCTCTTCTCTTGCTTTTGGAGTCCACCCTAGCTTGTGACTTCCTCGCTCCATTTTTTTTTTTTTTTTTTTTTTTAGTACCGGGGATCGAACTCCAGTCCTTGTCCTTGCGAGGCAAGCAGCAGAACCACTGAGCTAAATCCCCAGCTCCCTTGCTCCATTCTTACAGAGACTAGTGTTAAATTCCTAAAGGCTCTTTTCAATAATCTGCAAATTTCCAGTCACTTGGCCCTTTTCACCTGCAAACTGCTTTTTCCTCCAGCCCAGAAAGCAGCTGGATTAGAGACAGCATGTCTTAACTTCAAACATATCTCTACTTCAAACCCATATAGGTGGCTTGCACTGGAACCTGGCAGAGAGTGCGAATACACAGCAGAGATCACTCACATTGAAAACAGCCTTTAAATGTGCTCTACCCTGGCTTGTAATGTGCCTCATTTCTGTGAGCACCCACATTCCACTCTTGAGTGTGTCCTATATCTCTTATATCTACCTCTTAATAAATCTTTCTCATACCTCTTTTACTGCTGTGTTGTAAAAATTATTTTTCTGTGATGGGAGTCAGCAAACCTGCATACTTATTTTAAAGGGGTGGATTAAGTTCCTTATTTCAGCCTCAGGGATGCTCAGACCCAGCCTGTGACAGTGGGACTTTTAAAGGTGGGGCCTAGAAAGAGGTAATTGGGCCACTGGGGTATCACCTTGGGAGGAGTTAATGTAGTTCTTGCAGGATCAGTCTAGTTTCCCTGAGAATGGGTTGTTACAAATTAACCTGGCACTTCCTCTGAACCCTTCTTCTGCCACTCTTGCATACGCTCCTGTTGTTGTGACACTGCCTACCATGAAGCCCTTGCCAGAGCTAAACAGATGCCAGCACCATGCCCTTGAACTTCCAGAGCTGTAAGCTAAATCAACTTCTTTTTGCTATAAAGTATCCAGTCTTCAGTATTTTGTTACAGAAACAAAAAATGGACTAATACACTACTCTGACAGTGATCTAGCATCAAGGTTAATTTCTGAACTTTCTTCAGTAGCTTTGCATGACTTTTCTTTGGGGCTGCCACCAAAACCTTTCTCTCCTAGATAGATAATATATATTATATATAGCACATATAATATATATTTATGTATATTCATTCTTATTCTTAAAGAACATTATAATTTTAATAAAAACATTATAATAATAACATTATAATTGTAATGTTTTCTTACCTGTACTTCCCCAAAAGCCAAATCTTCAGGAGACCTGGGATCTGAATCCCAAGGGTTTGGAGGATTCAATTCTAGAAGTAAAAGCCCATTGTTTTCATCCATTTCAACAACTAGAACCAAAGGAAAGTAAATCTGGGTTAGAAATAAAAATGACTTTTAAAAAGTATCCCTGAAATAGAAACATGTGGCCCAAGTACCCAAAGTGCCACAAACTGAAGGAAAATCAAAACCAAAGGCAGCACTCACTGGAGTCAAGCAGTATTAGCCCAGATAACAGCTGAAGACAGATACCAACTCATTTCCTGATTCATATTACAGCTAAGGCAGTAAAGAGACCTTGGCTACATTAGGACACACAACAGAATCATATGCTGGGACACACTCACATACACACACACACATACACACAACTAAATGAACAACAGAGATGGTTCAAGGTGCTATGAGGGTATTTAAGAAGAAATATCTAATCTGCTTATAAGAGCCAAGCAAATTTGAAATAGAAATAATCCCTCAGTGGGACTTTGAGATGGGATGTTTGAGGAGACAAAAGAAATCTAATGGTATGAGAGGAAAGAGATGGGGGAATAGTGTGTGTAAAGACACTGAGGCAAGGAGAATTCGGTAATCACAGTTTGGTCAGTGATGACCTAGGAAAATGATGTTAGGTCAGACAAGATATATAGGTTGGTCAGTGTAGGTCAAAATGAACCCTAGATACCATGCTGAGTCATTTGGATTTTATCTTATAACACTGAAGGCTCAAAGAAGCAACTGTGGCAGGGCCTGTTACTAGCCTGAATGAAATCCATTGTCATCTTTCCTACTATAGCATTCTGATTTTATTAAGAATAGTGATATGTCTGTCTATGACAAGCCTATCAGGATTTCCCAGGCACCTTTGCAATCATGAGTAGCCATACAAACAGCACATATATATATATATATCTGGGCAGTTCTTCCAGTCTTCTGTGAATGGCGGCCCAGCAGTGTGATTTCCTGCTCCATTTGCCCTTCAACTCCCTCTCCTCCTTGTGTGAAACTTGGTTGTCACAGCTGTAAGAACAGGATCCATCTTGACACCCCGAGGAACGAGGCCACAGACCAAGGATAACAAAGCAAAAGGATGGAAGGGGCCCAGCACCATGAAAAACCATAGAACAGCCATGCTGCCCTGGACAGACTGGTTTCCAATCTCGTGTGAGGTAAGGAAACCACCCTATATGATCAGACCACTTTCATTGGGTTTTCTGCTAGATACAGCCAAAAGAAACTCCTCATTGCTTTAGCAAGAGAGGAATAAAATTAGTTTTAGCCCATTGTGAGCACCAGGAAGAGGACCAATGGGAGGAAGCAAGACCCTATTAAAATTATATGTGAGGAGATCCAGCAGCACAGCGCGGATGGGCATGGCTATGGGACTCATGTGGCCTTGTTTGAAGCCTCATTTTCTCTCTGATTCATGGGTGATCTTGGACAAGTTACTTGATTTTCCATTCTCCAGTGTTACCATCAACCTTTGCTACTTCCAAGGATAGATAATCCTAGTAAGTGCAGCAATTGCATTATTGCTAAACAAGACTTGGGCAGTCGCTGTTGACCTGTGTCCCTACCTTGTACCCAGTACCCTCAAAGTATACAAAATTGCTTTATGTACACTTTCTAAATGAATACGAACTATACTTACTATGGGGCAATTGTCTATGGAAGAAACTGAAGTAAAAACTATTATAAAATGAAAACAAAGACTCATCTGTCAAATTTCAATTTTCTGCATTACTTGAGGGAACCAAAACAAGCAAAGGATTGACAATGTAAAGATTTCCCTTTACGAAAGTCTGTTTGTTATCTTTCCCTCTTCTTAGTTTCACCATCTTGGTTCTATACTTAAATTCTCCCTCTCTTCCCTGACAAAACCATGACTCACTTAGACAATCTGCATGGAGAGCGCTCTCTGGTTACCAGAATGCTCGGTCCCTGACTTCATTAGGGATTCAGATGTCACCTAATCAGAGAGGGCTTGCTTTCATCGTCACTTTCTTTTTCTTTTTTTGGAGGGGGGTTATTTTACCTATACCTAACTTTAGTTGACACATAATAATTGTATATGTACACAGCGCACAGTATATATGTGTGTGTGTGTTTATTGTATATACGTATATTATATATATATATATATATATCACATATGCACACACACAGCATAGTGATCAGATCGGAGTACTTAGTATATCCATCACCTCAAACTCTTATTTTTCTTTGAGTTGTGAACATTCAAAAATCTCTACCTAGTTTAAAATATACAATCAATTATGGTCTAGTGTAAGTATCCTACTGTGTATAGAACACTGTAAGATATTATTCCTATCCAACTGCACCCTCATTCCCATTAAGCACCCAGGAAGGGCTTTCTGATCCCTCCATGCCCAACAGTGTTCTCCAGCCCACAATAGTCCCTTCCCTCCTAGACTTCTATTCCTCATTTTCTTCCCAGCCTATATCATCACTAGATCTATCATATACTGTTTGTGGTCTCTCCCTCTTACATGACAGTAAGGTCCATGAGAAGTGGGATTGCATTTTGTTTACTGCAGGATTAATCTTGTCCCAAGAACATTTTGTGGCTTTTGAAGTATTTGCTGAGATAACTGATCTGCAACCTTAATTTCTTGCGTCTCACAACTGTCTTGGGGATGCTTAGCCCTCGTTTTCAACCTGGGCACTGCTCCCGCCCAGACCTGGCATCTTAAATCAGGAAATTTAAATACAAGGTTTTCTCAACATAAGCTAAAAATGAAACATGAAACTCGAAACATGATTCCAGCAGATACTGTCCTTTGGCCCCTGCCTTCCGTCATTCCTCTATTTTCTCTGCATAGGGCATGTGCTCCCACAGACCACTCCCACAGACCCCCTCTGCCCTCTGGACTTGGCCACCAGGAGCCCCAGTGTGAACGTGGGGAGTGAGCTCAGTGAGGTGGGGCTGTTTATTTCTAAAGCTCACATTGACCTGGCCCCGCTCTGGGTGTCACTGGGTGAATTATGATACCTACTTCACATGGCTGTTGTGGTGATTCAATGAGATAATGAGTCCCAAAGTGTCCAGCACTGTGAGCAAATATCTAATAAATAATAGTGATATGTTGGCGATTGTTTTACACTTAGAGGAATGAACAGAGTTAGTGAGAATGCTCCTTGTAGGACAAGCAAAGATATAAACCAGCAGACACCAGTTGGGAAACACAGGAGTCTCCTGGCAACTTCTGAGGAAACACTTGCTCTGAGACCCACTTGTAAGGAGTGTTCTTCTTCCCACTTTTTTCTCTAAAAGATATAAAAGTGTAAGAGGAACTCTTAACTATTGTTGGGAAGCAAGCATCATTGGGGTCATTACGCTTCTTGCGCAAAGATAAACTGATTTAGTCAACAAAGAAGAGTGAATTTCTCCAAACTCCCTGTTTCTATAAAGTAGTGAGAAAGTGGTAGCCTTATTTTGACCTTGCAAACTGATGAAATCCAGATCATTTGCATTATGATTTCATACCCAGATAAACAAAGGTCATGCCCTAAAACCTTCATTAAGGAAGAGTAACTAAAATAAGGAATCAGAACTAAAATAAAAACATATCAGAAAATTACAAAAATAAAGTAATTGGTTATTGGCATTAGGAAAGCCAAGAAGTAAATCTTACTTAGGTGACTGCATCATACAAGGTAGATACCATAAATGGGTGGGTTATTTAACAAATTGTGCTGTGGCAAGTGGTTTGGTAAGTTTTCCAATTGATTAAGGCACAAAGGACAGCAACCAAGCCATGAGAATGTATGATAAAACAGAATATCAAATACAAGGCAGAGTAGGCCTGAATGTTTAACAGCAATGGGAGTAATTCCAATGGAAAATCTAAATAGATACAAATGTAAACTGAAAAAGTTGTGACATCAGAACAAAGTAGCAAGCACTTCTTGTCAAAAGGTAATTGGCAACTATTGGCATCATATGTGACAGACAAATGCAAGTAAAGACACTGAGATGCAGTTTTGTCTCAAGTGAGAAGTCTGAAAGACTAAGAGAGCCCTGAGCTCAAGAGGAGAAAATATGAGGCTGTAACTATTTGCTGGGGGTGGGAGGTGGGGTGGGGTGGAATCTGTCCATTCCAATGAATGGATGAATGGATGATGACTCCTTCATTCATTCACGTAGGATGTAAACACGAAAATGGTGTATTCATCATACTTTTTCAGTTTATGACATTTCATCTACACAAAATTATCTTTTAAATTTATTCTGCTTAGTTTCATCTCCAACTCTTATTTCACCTCCCTATAGGTACCGTTCTGAAAGCTTGTGTAAAATGTGTAATACATTGTGTCTGCATTTTTAATTTACATACAAGGCATTGGGTCCCTAGATTATTATTTCTTTTTCTTTTCTTTCACTTAAGATGCCTTGTGCACATCTTGGCCACTTCTGAGTCCCACAACACTGTACCTATGCACTTAGGCTGTTTGCCTTCAGTTTCTGCCACAACAGAATTTCTTTGCTTCCCAACAGGAGTGGGATTTATGGACCCTGGCGTGTTTATGAACCTCGTTTGATTAACTGCTGTCAGACTTCTCTGCAGAAGGGCTGCTCCAGCCACCTTCCCTCCACAGATACAACAATCTCATACCGCTGAAAACAACTGGCATCATCTTAGTTTCCAACCTTTTTTTGGTGTTACTGGGATTGGATGCAGGGCCCTTGCACTAAGCTACATCTCCAGCTCTATTTTCATTTTTTATTTGGGGGCAGGGTCTCACTAAGTCAATGAGTTGCTTGGGCTGGGGTCAAACTTACGATCTTCTTGCCTCAGCCTTCCAGAATACTGACTTCAGCCATGCACCTCACCTGCTTTATAGTTTCTGACTTCTTACCAATCAAAAAGATGAATGTGAACCCTACTCCCACTTCACTTGAAATTTTCTGATGACTAATGAACTTGTAATTTTCTGATTTAAATGAATTTAATAAGAATCTCATATGTTTAAGAGCTTTTGGGTTTCTTCTGCAAAATGCTAGTTCCTATCCCTTCTTCCCTTTTTGAGTTGCGTATTTTTATCTTGTAAA